GTAGGCTATTGTTATCCAGATGATAGTCTGTGAACTTATATTTCATCCATATGCGTCCAGCCGTTCCGTCATGAAGGAGTGTAACATAAACATGCACACACATACTTTCGCATTCATAATACTTGTGTCAAGTATGATTTTTGACGTATTACAATTATTAGCTTAGCATTAATATTAATGTAGTATTCTATTTTTACAATCCCATCCCATTATTTTAATATTATAATTCCTTAATAACCATATATATGTCGAATACGGGAAATGAATACGGACCGTCAACGACACACAAACGTCATACTGGCGAGTACAGAGCCTAGGCGGGTGGGGAAAAATTAATAAAAAGTTGTGATCAAATTAAAATTGAGTAGTTCATTTTGTTTCTTCACTTGGTAAAAGTCAGTGTTAAGCCTAGGAACTGTGCTGTGTATCGTGTGGGTTATATCGTGTGTAATTTCTAAATAAAGTTATATGTGATTATGGAATAAAATAGAAGTGTTATCTGTGAAGTGTGTATTATAGTGTTTAATCATAAACCAATAAAGTTAATTACTGTGCGTTGAAGTTTAAATAAATTCCCTTGTACACAACAATGAGTGAGGCAGAAAATAATGAAGATTCGAGATATAAATATTACGAGGTAATAAATAAAACATAATATTTGTATCCGAAACATTTATTACTTTTCAATATATTATAAGACAAAAATAAATTTGTTTTTCATAACGTAACCATCAAACTCTCACACTTCCGTGCAACACATTTGTATCGTGTCATTCAGAATAGGTACCTAATATTTTACTACGTTTTAAGAAAAAGGTTTACGCAATATTTTATTTACATAAAATATACGCTTATCAGTCTACTACCCATGTCATAAATAAAGTAGTACTTAAAATCAGGGTATGAAATTATCAAGATAAATATATTTTTTGGTAATTATCGCGATAATTATCAAGATAATTATCAGATAATTATCCGATAATTATCAAACAGATCTAAACTTAGCAATCCTTGTGTAGGTATTGGTATTTGACTTCTTGCCTATCGTAATTTACGTTAGAATAAATTATACACTTTTAACAATCAAGGTAATCTTTTATTATTATTATTATTATTTCATATTTTGACAAACTATGAAATAAAAACAGAATAAACCAACTATATAGACACTACTTAATTAAATTAAAGGTCTCTGCCCACTATACCGTCTCATACCATGACCGTGCTAGGACCATAACAGGACCGTGTCAGGCAAAAAAATATTCTTTGTATTGAAAAGTAGGAGACTATGCCCACTAGACCGTTCCATCACCGACCAAGACCTTTCCGTCACCGACCAACACCGTCGCGTGCCGTGCATGGAAAGTTAACAATAATTGTCGGCAAGAATATTTTGCCGGTGCTGATACGCTCCGTGCCTGGCACGCGACCTTGCCGAACCGGTGCGCGCGGACGGCGAAACGTTGAGCACACTGGTTATAACTGCGTATGATGACCATTCTAAGTCCGTTATAAACGTGTTGTCGCTCGTCTTCTAGTGATAATATTTTCATTTAAATTATATTTTTCTTAAAACGGCGTGAACCTAGTAACATCGTTATATATTGATGTTATTCTCTTTCTTCCACGTCTAAAACAATGGCTATAATTGTTAATTTTGTGTCGGACAAGTTTCTAATAGCCATCGTATAGGGATAGGAAATAATTTTCGTAATAAAAATATTCACTCGCTCTTCCTGACGCGGCTGCCTTACCCGAAAACACATATGAACAGGATATGACACGCAGATGATACGCGGTTGATACACGAATGATACGTTCTAGTGGGCATAGTAATCTGTGTCGCTTGTTTCCGTGCCTGATACATTCATAGCACGGTCATGGTATGAAACGGTGTAGTGGGCAGACTCCTTAATGAGTGGAATATCATCCTCATCCTCCTCAACTGCATCAACTCAGTTTGCTGATTGAGTTTTTTGAGCTGATTGACAGAGTTCAGTTAACTGATCGACAATTTGAAGAGTTACAAAATAAATATTTTCAATTATATTTATCAAAAATAATTATCAACCCATATTTATCATGATAATTATCGTTTCGAGCCCTGCTTAAAATGTAAAAACAAAAATTAATTAATTAAAATTTTATAAGTTTAAGTACATCTTACTCCAGCAGAATCATCAATCAAGGACGGCACAAGGCGCAGTTTTCTAATTAGTACCGACCAATTACTTTTTAACTAAAAAATCCTTAAGGATAATTTTTTTTAATTTTATATGACCACCCTTGATATGACTACCTACTGTAAACCTATTCGTTAAAAAATAATTATGGAAATCTATTCTATCAATTGGACAAGAGATCACGTATACATACATATAAAGAAACATACAACCCAATTTAATATATCTATTTTAAACGTGAGACAACATTTACTGCTATTTCGCTCTAAGTACGACTTATTATGAATTTTAAATGATATAAAGATATAAATTTGTACATATAAACTGTCAGCACATAAGCGATATATATAAATATATACGATGATGTTCTCCTGACCAATTCCGGCCACGGCGGCCAATCTCATTGAGACTAGCCAACTGCGCAGGAGATATTATAGTGCACAAGTGTACGCGCAGACATAAGTGCACTCTCGTACTCCGGTGGGACGACTGCTCGAAACGACCAGTGAGTTAAGGCGGAAGATCGACGGCTTTACGTGCTCTCTCCGAGGCACGGGGGTGGAACACCGCCAACTTCCCAACTCCGGGCTGTTACTGAGGCTTACTATGCAGAAAGACTCAATAACTAAACTTGGCCCAACCCGGGGCTCGAACCTAGGACCTCCGGGTGTGCAGCCGTACATGCCAGCCACTCGCCACCGAAAAAAATAAAATATTCTTAAGTCAATTTTGTATTAAAAAGATAATAATAAAACGATAAATTATAAATTAAAAAGATTATAAAAAATAGTGTATTTTGATCATTTAGGTTAAGGCTTTCTAGCGTTCATGAAATTATGATTTTTTTGATAAAAGCTATTTCTAAAAATAAAAGTCATACATAGATTTTATTTATTAAAAGAGGATTATTTACTGATTTTTTATAACTTAAATGAGATTTTTCTTGCTTTTATTAAGTGGTATTTGAGAATTTCGACAAACCTTTGGTTTATAATAATTAAACAGTAAAATTTCGAAATTAATTTATCGAAAGTAATTTGTAGCAGTTATTGAATTTCATAAAATGTTTTAACACATAAAGAAAATCTTAATACTAATACGAAATTGATACGGATTATATTCGGGATTTTGTACTTATATTTTATATGGTTCTTTATCTTTTTCTTCCTCGTTTCATATAAGGAAATTGTAATCACTTTGGGAATCTGGGATCTGTGTAATATTTAGCCATCCCTAATTAAAAAGACACAACTTTTATAACGTATGGTGGCTTTCGCTAAGTATCACGTTCTGGTACACGGTCGCACTATAATATGAAGATTCGGCTAGTCATGTATATATATGACCTTGTCATTTCTACGGTGACCTTAAGATTTCTTGTATGTGAGCAATCATGTCTCGGTTTCTCACTAGCAGGAAAAGAACACTAGCCATAGATTGTTGAACTTAATGAATGCTGCCCAGACGAGTCAGATTCGCTGATTAACCACTTATCAAAACTAAAAATATCGTAATGACTAGTTTCCCAGATGTTATTGGTCCTTAATTAAAACTGATATTTTGACCTCATGACCGGTTTCTGCTATGACCACTATGTTATCGACAAATCGAAGATAAGAGAGACCTATTAAGGGAAATGACATATTCCTATCGCAACCCTCACTGCAATTGGAAGTGTCTGGATACCTGGTCTTGAAGACAGATTATTGGTCACGTTTTCATACAAGCACTTGAGCGCCTATATGTATGAGGGGTTAACATAGTGCCGCTAAAAATATTTTAGTACAGTCTTTGCATGTTTAGACTAAATAGAAGGTTTTCGTTATCAATAAATGCGAACCAAAGCCGTATCGTATCTAAGTGGTCTACGGTGTTAGAGCCTTTTTAGATATCGGCCTGATGGAAAGGCTGGAAGTCACCAATTTTGCATTAAATTATTTATGACTAATTTTGAAAGAACCCTCTACCTCTCTTCTGTAGCGCTGCTACCTCGCGATTAAACAAAATTTATAATTACGAAAGCGCTTTTATGAAACTTACAATTACGTTAAGAAAAAATGAAGATTATATATTTTATTTTCACTTATTTAATATTAACCACCACGCACCGTAACTTTTAGCTAAAGATACATACACTGTGCAGTAACACATCAAATTAATTAAAGAATTTTGGTTTCAACAATATTTACTTAGACGACAGTATATGGAGAAATTAAAAATAGTATTTAATCCTAACGAACAAAACCAATAGATAACGCGCGGAATTTTTAGTGAAGTTATCAATACATATTTTATGGTCGCTGTCAGGCATAAAAGTCGCCATTCTAACATGCTGCGCATAACATTCTTCCCATTTTACATAAGTATTTTATTTACAAAAATTGAATTATTCTATATCTTACAAATAATTTACAGTACTTAATGTAAATATAACAATTACACATATAATTTTCAACAATCACATTATTGCACCTTTAATTCGTTTCTTAAGTGATTTGTACAATAAAAATTTAATAAATATCAGTAAACAAAATATGCCTCTCTAAAACTCGCTTCTCGTCAATCTCCACACTTACTGTTGTTAACCAACAATTTTGGGGACGACAACTCCAATCAAATGTCGCGAAATGTCAAATTAATTTTCATTACAAAAAGGCAATTCTTTGGAAGGCTTATTAAAATAAATTAAAAAAGTTCTCAAGGATGGATAGAGTGCTAGTGAGTTGAATTATTAACCAGAACTTCCCTATTTTTTTTATTAAATTTTATGCCCAGTTTAGAGCATTCGTCACGAATGCTCTAAACTGACGTATCTCAGGTATGTCCTCCTATATCGCAGTTAACCTGATATAAAAAGGTCGCTAACTCTTCTCCACTCAACTCTTGGTCTATTTCGTGGAGACTGGAATTAGATATACTCCTTGGTGACGTAAGAGAATCTGATCCTTCTGCAAGGCGTTTCTTCCAAAGCCAGCTAGCATCTGGTACTTCATTTACGACCGAGAGGTCATTTCTGTGATACGACTGCAAAAAGAAAGATTTAAATTTTATTAAAATTTATAACATTTTTATTATAAATCGACGTAAATTTTAACTAAATGTGTTGTACATCGAAAATTTTCATATACTATTTGTACCTATTATAGTAACGTACTCAACATCTATATATATATATATATATAAAAATGATTTTTTTTAAATTATTAAGTTATTAAAAATTATTAAGTCCTAATAATCACAAAACGTTCCCCAAAAAACAAATTAATAAAAAAATATTCAGCATGAAACTGTTGAGCCTGGTTTATTTTAATAATATGGCGACAATTACGTAATACGTATATAATTAGTCAACTAAAAATAGTAGAGTACAAATAATTTGGACTCTAGTTTTCAACAAACAATACATTTTATGATTTAACTATATACTTCCCTACGATTTTAATTTTTTTTTCTCCGAAATAGAGTCGGATATTTTAAGACCATTTTTTAGTATGGATGAGCAACATTTTCATATCAATGTACGATTTCACCTAACTTGCCGTCCATATTACGGGAAAAGGCTTCGTTATTGTGACAGCATCCGCGATCCACTTATCCAAGTCTTTATCCCTGGGGATTTTGCTTAGATTTACTAAGAGTCACTTAAGATTCCTAAGCCAAGTTGTGCTACGAATACTTTAAAATTAAGCCTAGCTATTTCTTTCATCTATTTTTTTTATTGATCTACAGAAAATACTAAACTCTGTTTTCTCGTTTTGATAAGTTTGTTCAAATAATAAAAAAGGTACAATCTATTATACCTAAATGAAGAAGTGAAAGAATATAAAAAATATATCCGAATTGTATATAATACTCAATGCCCAAGAACCTCTCTGTTTTAATAACACTGTTATTTAATGGTAAATAATTAAATACACGTTTCATCCCTGACGCGAGATAAACCTGGTATGTCTTCGACTGCATTATATATATTCCTTCTTTCAACTTCTCTTCAACTTTTTAGTTAACTTTTATGCAGTCGGGTTATTTATTTTTAACCGACTTCCAAAACTGAGGAGGTTCTCGATTCGTCGGAATCTTTTTTTTATGTATGTTCACCAATTACTCGAAGACGCCTGAACCGATTTGATTTTATTTTGATTCGAAATCATTATATAAATCGGTCGAGCGGTCTTTAAAAAATCAACAATAACTTATTTTTTATATTTTTACCGACTTCGAAAATATCTGATTAGGTGTTTTTTCTAAATGAAAACCCCCGTTTAGTTATTTTTTACATTTTAGTGTAAAAAAATGCAACGCAGTAAAAAGTAACAAATGGCAGCACGAGACTTTTCATTTATAATAAACACTATATAGGTATATATTTAAATGCCCTGCCTTCAGCACAGTCCACTTATACCATGTATGTATTAAGATTATAATTTAAATGGGACCACAATGTGCTTATAAAAAAATAAATTATACGCGAATATCCATGCATATAAAATGAACCATTATGGGTACATACTCGTATACGAGTAAAATATATACAGATAAAAGAAAAATAATTGACAAATTATCCTATATGCCGTCACTTTCTTATTTCAGCGCACGCTTTTTTTAATAAAGAAGTAGGTAAATTCTCTATAGTAGTCATCTTTCTTCTGTTCCGAAATGGAATCACATATTTTCATATGAAATTGTGTCATAATACATAACTTTTTCGGGAAAAATTAGCGTGAATTTTGAATTTAAATAGCCAGCATCGTAACACAACTTAAAGACTTCAATAAAACTTTATAGGCGAATCTAAAATTTTATTCTGTAATTCACATAAATCCAGATTTAGTACTAATATTATAGATTCATGCTCGTACAAATTTACATCTTTACTCGTGAAATTTGTCGTTACGTAGTTACAAAATTGTCATATTACGCATTTTTAATACCGTATATAATACGGACTTTTAACCGACTTCAAAAAGGAGTAGATTCTCAATTCGATTGATTTTTTTTATGTATGTACACTGATTACGCTGAGATTTACGATCCGATTTACGTGATTCTTGTTTAATGCGGAACAGTTGCCATTTGGATTTTGGTCCCATAAATTATTATTTGACCCAGTAGTTTTCATGTTATGAAAAAAAAATTATGAACATTTTGTTTACGTGGACGATGTAATTTTATTTTAGTTTATGTACGCCTTTTTAGGAGTTTTTATTTAGGTTGATTATATATTATTATTAACCCGTGTCCAGAGAAGTGGGTATTAGGCTACCTGTCATTGAAGCGGAGCGAGCGTGCGGAGTAGAGAAATTGAGAAATATTATTATAATCAATCGTTACATTATTACCTACTGTGGTTTACAGAACAACCTATTACAGACACTAAAAAGTAAAAAATAACTTAATAAAGATTTAATTTAATACACCTCTTATGCAAACCTAATAGCTTTAATATTAATAAAATACTATTATTTGTATGTGCTACCTATTGATACGTTTGAAATCGGTGCCTTTAGTATAGATTTCTCAGATTGCGGTGAGTGTAGGTATCTACGATTACATTTGGCATGGCACTGACTAAAAAAACGTATTTTTCTTATAAATACCGTATAAAATTCCATATGCATTTAGTAAAAAGCTGTTATTTTGACATTACAAACAGACCCTTCAAATTTATTTATCTGTATAGATAACAAGCTAAAACTTCACAAGTAGCTTCGTTTTGACGAGACACCCAACTTTATTTTCTACGAAAATTTGATTGGTAGATACAATTGTTTATTATGAAATATTACGATACGGAACATGCCAAAACGCTGATTGTCTAAAATTTATTACTAACAGGTTGTTTCACACTTTATTCTTGGGATAATCCAACATTAAACAATAATAAAATGTTGTCCTACAAAACAGATGGTTTGGATCAAATCGTCCCCCTCTCCAAACTTATTAAAATAACAAGCGTTATAAAATTTATTAATAGCCGTCTGATTTTCATAGTAATTATTATTAGAAATATGCATAATTAAATTGTCACATCGTCCTAGAATTAAAATGGTAGGATTTCTCAGTCCTACGCTCGGATACTGTTCTATACTGGGGTACTTGAGTATTTTTTTGTTTGATAAAGTAAATTAAAACGCCATAAATGATAATTTTTACTTTTCTTCGGTCAAAGGCTTACCATATATATAGGCATGCAAAAGATCAACTATAACACTAAGTTAAGCTTTGACTAACATTCGTTTAGGGATTCGTTTTTTTCCTATTGCGCCAAAATTTAACGAAAAAGTAATACATTTTACGGTTCAGATCATCATGTCAGTATACTATATTTTTAGAATTGGACAAGACATGACGACTGTAGTATAGTTAAACTCCAAATACTTAATTTCAAAACACGGACTTTGTTAGCACTGTTTACGAGACTGAATGTTGCGAGAGCCATTCACACGAAAGACGAACCTACTAATATATCGAGAGCTGCAAAGAAAAAAATGTAGGTACTTCAAGAATAATATTGTATTAATTTCAATTTCATAATAATTCTTATAACACTGAGTTACAATATTGCTCCTTGCAATGGTCGACATCCTCTGCACGACTGAAAGCAAAACATACATCACTACACTATTACATTCTGTCTAACCCACAAGGGAAAAAATGAGAACGTGTTCGGGAAATACTCATAAAACAAAGAAATCCGAAACTTTACTCAATAAGCACTTAGTTTTCCATTACGGTATGGATTTTAGGCATCTAGAAAAGATCAAATAAAGACGAAGTTATTTTGATAGTTACCCATTCATTTCACCATTCCAAACCTACAAAAATTAAGAAAACATGGGGCGATGAATAGTATTATTCGTAATAAGAATATGTGCAAATGCTTTCTAGAAAAATGTATGTAACTAGCGTGGTACGTTTTACATTAAAATGGATATAGTATGTTATCCTTAAGATATAGACATATGCCATTGCGGACTTTTCTGTAGACCTACGAGAATATAGGATACAGAAATCCACCATACATTATTTTGTAATATCTCAAAGGGTTTAGGCAGCGTTTTCGTTAAAAGTCCAGAAGGCTTAGTTTTCTCCGATACCTCCAACAAATATCGTTATGTTTTAGCCACAGACAATACAACCTGTAAATTGTTATGTCTGTGGTTTTAGCCAATGTATACAAAAACTTTTCTCGAGAACCACTCTAATGATTGGTAAAAATAGCATGAAAATCGGTGCAGTAGTTTTTGAGTTTATCGCAAACAGACAGACAAACGCGGCGAAGGACTTTGTTTTATTATATGAAGTGATGTAGTGATAACTTCGTCTATAAAAATAAACACTTCAATTTTAATGCTAACGAGAGTAATGATTCTTTGTCATTAAAGTTATATCCACAAACATTGTATAGTGTTTTAAATAAATAAATAAAATACATTGATTTTTAATTGCCCCCTTTACTACAAATACGCATATCGTAAACTAATCCTTATATTATATATAATTATATTCCTTGAAGTACGAGGATGGTTCATATGGCGAGAAAAATTTAAAATATTGCCTGAAAAAGTCTAAAAACAACACTTTCTATACTCCCATACAAATGATTCGTAATAATACTTAAAAGTCAATTTGAACTTTAATACCATACAATAAAGTTTAAGTGTTAGTGGAGAGGTTCCGGGAAGGCAAAACAATTGAGTGACGTTAGTATCATACAAATCTTAATGTCAATATTTGTCAATATTATTAACAAAAAAAAAATGTATATGGCTAACGCTGGCTAATAACTATTTATATCTATTTAAAACGTACCTAGCGACGAATCCAAGCGAAGCGAAGGTGAGCCGCTAGTTACTAATAATAGACACATACATTTACGTTTTATAAAATAAATACGGGAATTAAGACATTAGTAGGAGTTTTATGCAATATCGCAAATTCCATTTTTTCTTCACTTGGTCATTACCAATAAAATTAAGATTTTACTGGGATAAGCAAAAAAAAATTAGGAATTTTTGACACATATTTGATAGTAATTCAATAGGGCCCTAAAATGGGTTTCTCCTTTAATATTTTTCAGAAGTAATTTACTTTGCAAAAAGTAATACAAGTCATCTCAATGAACATTTTAAAAGATATGACAATATGCATAAATTGTGCACAACAAAAAAAATACCATTCACTTATGTAACTAGAGTAAGACAATTTCTTAATAGTTCAAATAAAATGTATTTCTTACACCACAATATTAAAACAAACATCTTAAAGGATTTCTGCGGCTAGGGTCGACAATAAATCCGACTTATTAGCAGATTCCCTACGGGCAAACGTCAGAAACAACATAGATAAAAAAGTAACTATTTATTAAGTCACAAAATGTTTATAAAATAATAGATCAAAATACAAGATATGAGTTAAATAAGTTAGTAGTGTTTTAAACTGCTTCTGTTAGTACTCGCAAAAAAATTATTTCAGGAATTTAATTTCTTTATTAAGGTGGTCTCTAGTATAAGTAAGGCCGCGTAAAGAGTATAAACTTTTGACAAAGCTTAATATTCTTCATCGAAAATCGGTATCGGTAGAGCCCTATATTTATCAATCTCATAATGGTAATGAAAAAAAAAATAAAAACCGACTTCAAACAAAAGCACTAAAAAGTAAAAAATAACTGATTGGTAGTTTTCATTTACTATACATACTTAATCAAATATTTTCGAAGTCGGTGTGCTTTGCTTTGTATGGGCTGGCACCGATTTCGAAAATATTTGATTAGGTATGTATTTAATAGGTAGGCTTTAATTACTTAGCCAAAGCACACCGACTTCGAAAATATTTGATTAAGTATGTATAGTAAATGAAAACTACCAATCAGTTATTTTTTACTTTTTAGTGCTTTTGTTTGAAGTCGGTTTTTATTTTTTTGTTAAAAAGTTTTTATTTTTCCCTTTTTAGTGTAGACAGTAGTAGCAATGTAAGGATTCTAACATGTTAGGCTTGTCAAATCAAACAAAATAAGCCCAAACTCAAAGTATCTACTATTAGCCGTTGAAGAGTTCCACCTATCCACCTTCTGGCCTTGCCATCAGATCAGGTCAACAACACCGAACCACTGTACTATCAATGGAAATAGAAATACTTGCAAAGTTTCAAGTCAATATGATATTAGAAGTAGGTTAAATTCATCATTAGTTGTTTTTCCACCCTTAGGGGTGGTATTTTTTTTTGAAATTTAAATAGGACCAATCTGGAAGTATACCCTTTCAAACAAAACAAAAATTGTCCAAATCGTTTAATAAATGACGGAGTTCTGAGGTAACAAACATAAAAAAAAAACATACAGTCGAATTGAGAACCTCCTCCTTTTTGAAGTCGGTTGAAAATGACAAAACACAATGAACAATCATATAAAAATGACAGATTCCAAATTCAAATGTAATATTTTGTTTATTTTTAATTGTAACAATATTTATGGCCAGACCATGTACCTATAGTTAAAAATGAACACCTTACCTAAGTAAAAAAGAAATGATGTAATAAATTTATATATAAATATACAAGAATTGCTCATTTAAAATTATAAGAATAAAAACAGAGACTTCTCACCACGTCAGCGTAGTAGGTCAACGCTTTAACCTCAGGTTATTCATTTAGACGGCGGCGGCGTAATTACGAATCATACTGCGCGGACAATTCTTTTCGGTGAAAATACGGAGAAAACGATTTTTCTCAGATATGACACATAGCGCGATCGATTTTTCGCCTCCATAGAACCCTACATCGCAAATTTCATCAAAATCGATAGAGTCGTATTCGAGAACGTGGTAACAAATACATATACATATACTGGTCGTTTTATAGTATGGGATACAGATCTGTTCTGATCTGAATGCATTAATGATAGAGAGCAAGTCGAAACGATGTGTAGAAAATTAGAATTATCTGGCTAGTTCTTATACCTACCAAATATTGCAAGATTTATTATACCTACCAAATTCATTTACAATTGTTAATGTGGAACAATATTTATTTAGTACACCCATATATATAATCAACGCTAACGTGTGGTTCGAATCAAATCGATCAATTTCCTTTTTTGCCTTTTATAATAAGGAATAAATTTAACACCTCCAGGAAAATTTCTAAGAAATTAATTAAATTTCTAAGAAATCTATTGTTAGCTGTAACGCCGTCGTGTATTACAGATTTAAGCAAGACAATTGCAATTAATATCATTAACAGTTAATGTAATATGTTATTGCGCCCGTTACGTAAATTTCAAAGCTTTTATTGAATAATATATTATGTGTTATATACCTTTGTTTTAACGTTGGGAAATGCATTTACGCACGAGGTGTGGGACTCACCGGCCAAGCCAGTGCTACCCACTAAAACCCAACAAAACCTTCCCCCGTCTTAATGGGGCGTCGCAGGATCGCTTACGCATTCAACTACGACGCCCCGACGATGTGTTATATACCCAATAAAAGTAATACAACCTATAAAAGAAGAGTAATTTAAGATATGATATGTATGTATATTTAAAACATAGTAGCTGCACCCTCTACGAATATAGGTATATATTGTGGGCAAGGAATCAAAGCAGTGCATATCCAACTACCTAGCATTTCATTTACCTACCCCATATGCATGTTAAATAATACATAATATATAGTATACAATACCAAGTGAAGCAGGTAACTCCTTAGACATGCGAAACCAAAATTTTATTGAATTGGCCTGACCTCACCTGCGCTCGCGGCGGCGCGTCGCCTAGCTGCGAAGACGCAGTGGACAGCCTGCACAACAAGCGGGGGTGGCTGAACTGTCGCTGTCTTTGGACCGCTCTGTTAGCCGCTCGTTGCCGCTGAGACGCTAGGAGCACGCTATACGTCCTCTCCAACCGAGCAGCGTCTCTCCTACACCACATTGACAGGGTCATCTAAAACATTACAAACAATACAATTATAAACACAAAATAACGATTCCAAAAACTTTATGACACAAATCTAACAATTAATTATAATTTATTATTTATTAAACATTTGTAGTAATTTCTGGTGTACGAATGCAATTCTACAAAAAACTATCTCAGTGATGCACTGAATCGTATTTCGCGCCACCTCGAGCAAAACTTAAGTCACTGTCAACTTGACAAAAACACTTGACAGCTTGATGTATTGACATATTATCAAATGTCTCAAATGTCAAAATAGTGAATTTATCCCTAAAATATTATTTTATCATTCTACGTGACACTATCGAAGTCATTTGTGCTCAACTTTGAGCTTTGAAGCCATTAACAAAACAACTGAATTGAATTATTTCACCAAATTCACGGTCATTCTGCAGGACAACAGAGTGGGATTAGATGGGGCAAAAAATCAAGTTTAAGAAAACATCCATTGTAAGTGACTTTGCTTAATTTTATTTTATAACCAGTAATAAGACAATACCTACTTTGACTAAAATGTTGTTGAATACACAATGTTACGGTTAAAGGTTTTTTTATAATTATAAAACATTGAAAAATTGATCTTATCATATACAAAAAATGAATAGATTATAATATTTTATAAAAAAAATATAATTTGGAAAATAAAATATAAAATATAAATGCAATTCTATATTTGTTTATATAATTTCGGTGGACTTTTATAAGCTAAATGATACCTACCTAATAAATACATGATGTATAAAGTAATATTAATTATGACATAACAATCAAAATAAAGATATAAAAAACTTAAATTGAAGTGGAGTCGTTGTACCATTAAGCCGTACAAAATAAAACATACCAAACTCAACTTCATCGTTTACAGTAGGTATAATATACATTTTAATACTTACAATTATAAAAAATATAAAATATATAAAAAGTATGCGTGCTGCTGGTTCAACTTAGGATATAATTTAAAACAAGTAAGCAATTATCTTATCCATCTAATTAAATAGGTATAAAACAAAAAAACCAAGGATGCTCTTCAACATGTATTATAAAATACATTATTATTACATTATTTTATTCCACGCCAGTTTTTGCCTGCGATTTAGTTCGCACTTAACGCAATTGATCACATATTATTGTAATACGGTTTATTACAAGATGGTGAGCTCAACACCGATTCAGAACAGTGTCAATGACAAGAATAAAAGGGGAAGCTGAAAGGGTGTTAGGTGCTGACTAACTGATAAATAACGAAACAAAATTTCGCATCTATTTCAAGTCAGACAAAATGTTTTATAATAACAATAAAAACTTTATAACAAAAAAATAAAACCGATTACAAAAATCAAACTTCTACATTTTTAAAACTTCAATTTTTTTTACTTATTAGTGCTTTTTTGAAGTCGGTTTTTATTTTTTTGTTAAAAAGTTTTTATTTTTCCCTTTTTAGTGTAGACATAGTACTAGGAAAGTAAGAAGAAAGTATTTTAATAAAATATTCGCTTAAACCGTTTTAACGTACTTTGACGCCAATTTTTATACGAAGACTTACAAACTAAAATTTGCTTTTATTAGTAACACTAAAAATTCTGGCTCTAAAATCCGATTCTAACGTGCTAGGCTTGTCAAAATAAGCCCAAACTCAAAGTATCTGCTATTAGCCGTTGAAGTGTTCCACCTTCTGGCCTTACCATCAGATCAAGTCAACGATACCAAACCGCTGCACTATTAACGGAAATAGAAATAATTGCAAAGTTTCAAGTCAATATGACAATTAGAAGTAGGTTAAATTCATTGTTAGCTATTTTTCTACCCTTAGGGGTGGTACTTTTTTTTTAATTTAAATGGGACCAATCTGGAAGTAAACACTTTAAAACAAAACAAAAATTGTCCAAATCGGTTAATAAATGACGGAGTTCTGAGATAACAAACAAAAAAACATACAGCCGAATTGAGAACATCCTCCTTTTTGAGGAAGTCGGTTGAAAATGTTTTTGAAATCCATCTTACCTTTTTTATATGACGATCACCCAAACATAATATTATTATGCTTGTTTAAATGTACTCAAATACTAGACATCCCTTTTAGAACATTTCGTTAGACTATTTAGACTGTAGAAACGATCTTAGCATCTGACTGCCACTACTTAAGCCGCAAGTTTCGGATTTGAACTTGCAAAGGTCAAAGATTGATATTTATTAGGTACTATAATTTTTACAAATTTATCGCAATCTGTTTATGACAATAAAACAAGATAGTCAAGGAATTTATTATTACATACAAAAAAACAACATTAAATGAAAACAAAAGAAAAGTGTGTGTGTGTGCGTGTGTGTGTGTGTGTGTGTGCGTGTGTGTGTGTGTGTGTGTGCGTGTGTGTGTGCGTGTGTGTGTGCGTGTGTGTGTGTGTGTGTGTGTCAGGTCCGACGCACAACTGTTTTATTTTTTCTAAATAATATTTGAAAATAGAATATAATACAATAACAAAGATATACTCGTAAAGAATATAATATTAAAATTAACTTTAAACATACCTTTAATAATTATACCTAACCTGCTAGACGATGTCATTATCATACAATGCAATATTATTTTTATATAATTTGTAGTAGTATTATTATATGTAAGTAGGTAATAAATTTTATATCCCTTACTTTATAAATGATTGATTCCCCATAAAAATGTTTTCAATCTCTTAAAGGGATGATTTCCGGGATAAAAACTATCCTATATCCTTTCAGGGTCTCAAACTATCTTCATACCAAATTTTTAAATCGATTCAGAGGATTTTTAGTTTATCCATTACAAAAAAACATACAAACATACAAAAAATGTTTTTCTGTTTATTAGATATAGAGAAACTTACTTAGGATAACATACATTTTGGTTATAATTATTGTACTTATTATTATACTATATAATACATTTTTAGAATAAGGTCAAATAGAGCGTATAATACCGCATAAAATAAGTAACCTAAAGAATAAAACGTGAAGAACTCGGTAAAATCATTTTGTTGCGGACAATATATTTACAAGGGTAAAGCCACCCAGATTCGAGGCTTTCCACCAAAAATAGTTCAGATTTATAGGCGACCTTTGCTCGTGGAAATAGGGGTGAAAAGTATCACTACCGCCATAAGACGCTTTCGGTAGGTATAATAATGAAAATATCATAGGAATAAACCAAGAATATTAGAGTAGATTTCTTAATTAAATGGAGATTATAGTAGAATATACATATGAATATATTATGATGCTACGAACACGGTTTTAAATTGTAACAATTTTGAACCTCACTTTAAATATATAAGAAAGAAATACTTATATTTCTCATTAATTAAAGTGTTAATAATATTTTAAAATTATTTGCCTATTTTTCTAAATGTTTGCTTATTTGTAACATATTATGCACTATCATTATGTGCACGCCCGCGAAGTGACTCGCGAGTCGTATCGGATTATAATTGTATTTATTTATTTATAACCGACTTCCAAAAAGGTTTTTTATATGGTTTTATGTATGTTCACCGATTACTCGAAGACACCTGAACCGATTTGCATTTTTTTTTTATTTCAAAGAGTAAACTTCCCAGGTGTAAAAATTTTATCGAAATCGGTCGAGTGGTTTTAAAAAAAATCAACAATAAATATTTTTTTAAATAAATTGTTTAATCGAATATGTGATTAAAAAACTTTCTACTTACAAATTACATGTTTATTACGTCTACACTAAAAATGGAAAATAAAAACTTAAAAAAAATAAAAACCGACTTCCAGGCACGAAAATGTAAAAAATAACTAAACGGAGGTTTTCATTTAGAATAAATACCCAATCAGATATTTTCGAAGTCGATGCCAGCCGACAGACAATATTTTAAGATATGAATATCTAAATATGTTTTTTACGTATCGAATTATATTAGATTTGCTTTGCGTTGGTTGGCTCCGACTTCGAAAATATCTGATTGACACTGTCATGAAATTGTCACATGTGTTCATTTAGTAAATATTTATATGTATTAAATTATTGAAACTTTCTAGGAAAATCTACTACTAGGGACTTCCAGGCACTAAAATGTAAAAAATAACTTAACGGAGGTTTTCATTTAGAATAGATACCTAATCAGATATTTTCGAAGTCGGTGCCAGCAAATCTAAGATGCAAAGCAAATCTAATACATTTCGATATGATCTTAAAATATTGTAGGCCATTTAGGTATAACGGAAATTATAAACAACTGCTATATCGCCCACAACGACAGGTTTTGGTGAATTATAGACTTAATTTTAAGAAGTTTGGCAAAAGAATTTCATTTTGCGATTTTTTCATATTTTGCTAGGTTCGGTAATTGCGAGTATATTATTCTTAGAATTTTATTTTAAAATATTATTGAGTTGTTTACCTTTGGTCAAGCAATTAGAGATACTACAACAAATAAATTTTTCTTCTAGGTGACGTATTTTGTACATTCAGGCGTTTAAATTCCTTACCGCATCTTTAATACGCACAATAAATACGAATATTTATTGTATAATTTTATACGTGTCAAATATTTAAAAGTAACTAATTCTGCAATTCACTATACGTATATTTAATATATTTATACACTTACGTGATTTATTATATACATTTGTTGTAATATACTTAAATCGTTTAAGTAAATAATCTTTTGTACAGAACCAAGATCTACCTAGAAGAAAAATCTTTTTCTTTTATTTCTAGTTTTCTAATTATTTGACCAAGTATATAAAAACTTACCAAGTTACAAGTAAAATCACTTATAAGCTCTTTAAAAAAATCCTAGCAGAAATCTACATCTAATAAAAACATCTCTACACAAGATTGATTACTTTATTTTTTATTCTAAGAATTGAATTACGTTTTAATAAAATTACATAAAATATCTTTTGAGATAATTTTATTGCGTAAGAAATTTTTAATAACGTAAATGTATTATGAATTTAACTTAATATAATTACTCATAGAAATG